AACATTTGACAGTGAGTTAGAGGTGAAGACTCTTGAGCACTTTGGTGGAGGGTACAATAGTGTGTCCATGAATACTGTAAGTATTACCAATATTGTAACCATGTTACATAACTACAATAAAAATGATTAAAATACATTGTTAAATAATTAAGTAAATTTGTAAATTATTCAAAATAAAGAACAGTTGTTAACTCCAAGATGCTTCATATTTTTACCTAGAGAAAATACTACGACTATTTAAGATTACCCAGCAATTTTTGGTTGTTTTTGCTATGTTCGTGTGTGTGCTTGTTCACGTTTTTATGTAGAGAAATGTACAAAGATGTTTTCCCCATGCTGATTTGGCACCCTCCAGAGTTCTTTTGAATTTATACTTGCTGACTTTGTAGGTGTGATCAATGCTTATGCTTATGCTTAAACTTTAACTGGAATACAAGTCTAAAAAAATGTTTCACTCCAGGGCTGGACTGATAGTACCATGGGTAGGGTGGCTTGCCTTGCACACTGCTGTGACTGATTCCATCCCTGGCAACCCGTATCATCTCTTGAGCACCGCCAGGAGCAATTCCTGAGTGCAGAGTCAGGAGTAGCCTCTGAACTCAATAACCCCCCTGCCAATAATTGTGTGTGTGTGTGTGTGTGTGTGTGTTTTGATGTTTTGATGTTTTGATGTTTTTATTCGAATGCAATTCCCTTTTAGGCAAGGAACAGTATCACCTGCTTTTGTGAAGGATTGTCTAATGACAAGAGCTTATGAATTCTTATGTTGGTTGAGGCATAAAATAAACATATAATCCCCAGGATAAAGATACTGTTCCCAATTTTCTGGCAGCCTTTTATTCTAACTAGCCTTACAACCTCTGCCCATTTTCTGTGCTACAAGCTGCTGTGTTTGGGAATTGTATACAGAGGAGAAGGGGCAGGAAAAGGTATCCAACACTTGTGCCTCACAGAGACTTTACTCTGGAGTAAGGGACTGATTAACAACTTTGTTGGTCAGTGTACTAGGCCCCCTCTCACAATCAGGGTCATTGGATCCCTCGAAAGAGTGTCCATTTTCTCTGTAGTCAAATGAATAATTTAGAGGTTTTGACATTAGTTCAGCAGAACATCTTGCAATCTAGACAACAGCTCTAAAGTGAGGCAGAGATTCCAGGGCATCTTTTATCAGTACTCCTAGTTTCCAGTACTGTTTCAATCTTACATTAATTTTGTTTTCATGGATATTTGCAAGGGAATTAATTTTGTGCATCTAGCTACTTACCATCATACCCTCAAAATTATCTCGGCTAAATTTTATATAGTACATTTTATAAAATTCAGAAAATTACATAAAAAACTTTGCATCATATCACTTTCATGCTTGTTAATTTATAAGTTCTATTGTCAACCCATATGTACAGGAACACAAGCTTAAAATACAACTAAAACATTAAACAATGTATCTCAGAAGGGACTCTGTGCCAGGCTGTTTTTGCTCCGGGTGCCCCAGAGGGGGGCTGGTGAGAGCCCTCCCCGCTCCAGGGGACGGAGCCTGGGCAGCCAACCTTCACTACCCAACAGCAGCTGCCATGCTCCAGGCCACTTTCTGGACTTCAGGGCCGTGAACAAATTTTCATAATTACCACACTATGTTTGATGGAGCTCAGACAGTAGGCAACAAATTATAGATAAAAATTTATATATATATATATATATATATTTATGCCTTTCAGAGAGCCCGGCAAGCTACCGAGAATATCCTGCCCACTCAGGCAGAGCCTGGCAAGCTCTCTGTTGCGTTTTCAATATGCCAAAACCAGTTTATATAACAGGTCTCATTCCCCTGACCCTGAAAGAGCCTCCAATCATTGAGAAAGATGAGTAAGGAGAGGCTGCTAAAATCTCAGGCCTGGGATGAATAGAGACGTTACTGGCACCTGCTAGAGTAAATCGACAAAAAACATGATGACAGTGACAGTGATACAGTGTCTCAGAAGAAACACATACACACACATATAAAAAATAACATAGTAGAAAGGAAGAGAATAAATTAAAAGTATGCTTACTTTTTGTGGTTAAAGGAGATAGATGGTGGGGCTGGAGGGATAGCACAGCTGGTAGGACATTTGCCTTGCACACGGTTCACATGGTTCAATTCCCAGCATCCCATGTGGTCCCCCGAGCACCACCAGGAGTAATTCCTGAGTGCAAAGCCAGGAATAACCCCTGTGCATCGCCGGGTGTGACCCAAAAAAGTAACAAAAAATAAATAAAATAAAAATAAAAGAGATAGATGGTTCTGAACTTACATTGCATGAACCCAATCTTATTCACCTTATTTGTTCAATTACTTTATGGAAAGATATTATGAAAAGAAAAAAATATCTGATTGCTACTATAAGTGCAAGGAGGGAATCAAACTTCAGAAACGCTGGGAAAGAACAAAACAAAAAAATTAGACATATGTTTCTAATGCTAAAAGCTTCATAAATCTGTTTCTCCTCTTAGTGGAAATGGCAGCTTTCCCCTTGATATTTGTATTTTCAGAGATCATAATAAATTTTTGTATGCAATGGGAAAATCATGTTCAAATTGTTTTGTTAGGAAGTCCAGGTACTGGAGACTTTTTCAAAGTTTACATTTTGGAGATCAGAATGGGTATGATTGTGTAATCTTTTCGATTATCTTGAGTGCCAAATAGTTATTTCTGACTTGGATGTGTGAAGTACTCAGTTATAGTGAAAGCAGAGAAAAATATGTAATTTTGTTCCCTCTATATCTTCCATATTTTTTTCTGTTTCCAGTATCTGCTCATTTCATTTTTTTAGATATGATAGCAAAATAGGATAAGTTATATACTGAAATTTTCTGTGCTCCTTGAACATTTTTAACTTTTCACTTTTCAATAAATTGCTCTTTCAATTTTTGAGAATTTTCTTATTGTTCAAGCAAAACAGACTTTTGGGAAAGAATTAATTGAATTGACCATTTGATATTTCTGTCTTCTTGTAAATGATAAAATTATTCATAGCTTTAAAGACCATTTAGCATAATGCTAAAATAATTTGATTTGCACTCATTATTTATCAATTTTCCCAATCAAATTCGAGTTTTAATACAAAACTTAGAAACACAACTGTTTATAAAAGATTTTTCCTTAATGAAAAATTCTTACAGACTGCACTCAATGCAGAGGTAAAATTTACCAGTTCAATCAACAAGTACTGTAGTAATGACCTTTGCTTAGTTTATCAGTGTTAAAAGAGTAAAAATGAAAAAAGATTGGACTGGAGACCTAGTATAGCAGGCCAGGCACGCACTTGCCTTGTAAGCAACCAAGCCAGGTTCAATCCCCAGCACCATATGTGGTTCCCCATGTTTGCCAGGAGTGATTCCTGACTCAGACACAGGAGCAGTGAGCTTCTGGCTGAACACCACTGAGTGTGATCCCCAAACTGAAATAAATAAATCAATATATATTTTTCTAAAAAGTGCAAAAGATTTCTACTATGTGTTTTTGGGCCTCCAGTGTATATTCCCAGAAGTGGTATTGCTAGTATTCCTTGGTCAAATGAGAGCTCAATTTCTAGTTTTTTTCAGAAATGTTCATAATGTTTTCGAAAAAACGGCTGGACCAGTCAGCACTCCCACCAACAGTGAAGGAGAGTCCCTTTCTTTCCACATCCATGCCAAAACTGGTTCCTTTTTGTTCTTTTGGATGTCTGCCAGTTTCTGTGGTGTGAGATGATATCTCATTGTTATTTTGATTTGCATCTCCCTGATGACTAGTGATGAAGAGTATTTTGTCATGTGCCATTCAAAGTTCTTCTTTGAGAAAGTTTCTCTTCTATTATCACCCCATTTTCTTATGGGATTTGATTTTTTTCTAGTAGAGTCCATCCAGTGCCTTGTATATTTTGTTATATCAACCTCTTATCAGAAGGATATTTGGTGAATATCCTTTCCCATTCCATAGGCTCTCTTTGCATCCTGGTCAATGTTTCGTGTGAGGTGCAGAAGCTTCTTAGTTTAAGATAATCCTATTTGTTTATCTTTGCTTCCACTTGCTTGGTCAATGGCATATCATCTTTGAAGATACCTTTAGCTTCAATATTGTGGAAGGTTTTTCCAACTTTTACTTCAATGCACCATATTGAGTGTGGTCTGATATTGAGGTCTTTAATCTATTTTGATCTGACTTTTGTTCATGGGGTTAGGTATTGGAGCTGAGGTTAGGTAATATAGTGAAGAGACTGCTATGACAATTATAGCTGGGATTGATCATGGTGGACAAGTTCTGAGGGTTGAAATTAGGTAAGGGATAGTTTTGACAACTTTTCACTCTCCATATTGCAAACTACAATGCCCCAAAGAAGAGAGAGATAGAGATATATAGAGAGAAAGAGATAGAAACAGAGACGGAGACAGACAGAGACAGACAGAAAGACAGAGAGACAGAGAAAGAGAGAGACATAGAAAGACAGAGAGACAAAGTGCCTGCCATAGAGGCAGGCCGGGGGTGGAGGATGATGGGAAGGACCCTGGAGACTTTGGTGCTGGGAAATGTACACTGGTGAATGGTTGAGTGTTGGAATACCCTGAGACTGAAATCCAGTCATGAACAGCTTTGCAATGGTCTATCTCACATTGATTCAGTGAAAATGTTTCTTAAAAATATTTCTAGTTGGAATATAGCATTTCAGAAGCTGACGTTAAAAAATGAGGACAATGTTGGAGTAGTGAAGGAAAGCTCCTATGTTATTGCTTTTCCAGACCAAATCACAGTTGAAAGGAATTATGTGCATGTCCCTTAGGCAAATAGCATTTTAATTAAGTCACATGACACTGATGAATGAAAATTATTTTTAATTTTTATCACTGTCTTTTTCAATTAGTTGTAGACATTTTTCTCTACTTTTTTATAGATGCAGTTGAGAAATTGCTAAATTGCGGGCATTAAAAGTTCTGTGAATGACTTGGTTTCAGTTTTGAACATGTTCCATGTATTTGTCTTATAGGCACTTTTCCTGTTTGTCTTCTAAGTACATGTGTCCTGGTGTTCCCGCTGTCATGAGCACGTTGCTGGCAAACATAAATGCTTTCTATGCTCACACGACAGTTTCAACCAATGTGCAGCTCTCTGCCTCAGATCGCTTTGCTGCTACCAATTTTGGGGTAGGTATTTTTTTTTAACTTTAAAATTCCTAGTAAGTTACGGGAGTTAAGATATTGATTTAAGATATTCTTGCAGCCTTATTGTAGAAGGCATATCTCAAGGAATATCTTAGCATAATAGGATAACCTAAAGATTTGTTTGAATAATATCCTGTAAAGTATCTTTATTTGACAGTCAATAAGCATCTTTATTAGGTTAAGTTTCCATATCTGGAATGACCTTTGCCAATGGGGGGAAAACATAAATTTTATGAAAAAGTAATGATATTTTATAGCAAGTTCTCTATGTATGATGTAAATTTGATATTTACCTCTTTTGAAACTATTCTCTGATAAATGGGATCTTTCTTGGGTTCCGTGGAGCCTTTTAAACCACATTCGTACTTCCGGTTTTTTCTTACTGGTACTTATGAATAACAGTACATCTTTAAGTGAAATATTGTATACACACAAGAGTCTCTAGTAATTTTCTAAATAAGAATGTCTGTCTGAAGTATTTAAATACTGCAGGAATATATTGGGAAAGATTATATTGAAAAATCAGGGTTCTTTAGGTATTCCAGTTATTTATTCATGTTGTTAGTCATTAAAACCCTTAGTTTGAGTGTGTTATGAAACAAAAACCACAGGATTATAATTTGATATGAATTAAATGTTATTTCATGGCAGTGTTGAATATCTAACATAGAATTAGCAGAAGAGAAGTAGAAAAGATAACTTAGATAGGATCAAGCACTTGCTGTCCTTATTGGTATGGGTAGTGAAGAAAAGCAACATAAAGTTTCTGCCACAATTCCCAGTGCTTTACCCTGGGCAAAGAGGTAGGTGTTAGTCCTGCTCATTGATATTTTTATTCTTTTTTATTTTTTGCATTGTGACGTATTCAATATGCCAAACACAGTAACAAATCTCACAATGTTACTGGGCCTGCTCGAGCAAATTGATGAACAACGGGAGGACAGTGACAGTGACAGTGACATTGTGTAAACAAAGATCCACACAATTACTTTTTCCCATAAAAGTTTCAAAATTGATTTCCTGAATAGTTTTTGGGATTTGTGTCACAAAGTAGAGGTAAAATGAAATCCAAAAAGTGAAAATGGTATTAAAGCCAGTGGGAAGCAGTCAATTGTGCTGTTATGTTTCCATTTTCTCTGTTCTTTTATTTACTTATTTTCTTTTATAAATTTATTTATTGAGTCACCGTGAGAGCAGTTTCAAAGCTTTCAGTTTAAGTCTCAGTCATACAATAATGAAACACCCCTCCCTTCACCAGTGCACATTTCCCATCACCAAAATCCCCAATATGCCCCCATCCTACCCCCTCCCCTACTTGTGTGGCAGGTGGTTTCCACATTACTGTCTCTCTACTTTGATTATATTCAATATTTTGACATCAGATCCACCATTATTATTTGGGATTTTACCCCAATACTCACATCTGCCGAAAAGGCAACATTAGACAATTTGTTTTCTATTGTTGATAATGAATAGTATACAATAGATTTTGGAATTCTGAAATCTTAATAATTAAATCTGGAGGGATTTCTGCCAAAAGCTGCTGGGTTGCGAGATTTGTTTCTGAGCCTCTGGGATCATGGTTTAAGCTGCTTGTTGAGTAGCCAGAGGGCTCATTCGTGGGCACTGTTTTTTTTTTATCAAAAAAAATATATTGCATGTCAAGTGCATGAAATCACTTGACTAATGACAAACCAAAAACAGTACTCCTGAAAGAAACCATTCTTTGTGAGATGCTGTGGAGTTTGAGTTTGTGCTTAAATTTGGTGAGTTTGTTCTGTCCCTGAAGCATTAGTGTTCTTAATGAGGTATGTGGTTAGCACTCTCAAATTTATCGCTTAAATTTTTCATTAAATTGCCTATTGCTTAAAGTTTTAATGAAAAATAAGGTAACATACTATAAACCAATTTGTAAAAATAGAAGTTCTCTACGAATACAAGATCTGAGTATTTCTGGCCTCACTTGTCATACCTGCAGTTCCAACATTGGTCAACATCTGCTACTCTTATCAAATTGACATTGCACAAACCTTGACCAAAGACCAAACTGTAGTCTAATCAGCAACATAATGCAGTACCAATAACTTTGTTATAAAAAAATTGATCTCGGTAATTGTATTCATTATATTTCCATTTTTTCTTTACTTGTATGAGATTGTTTTGCTTTTAGTATTCTGTTTGTGTATATTGTTGTGAATAAGTCAGTGTTGTGGAACACTGATGCTTTTCTCCCTCCGAAATATATGCATTTATATGAATAATACCCACCATAAAATCTACCTAGAGGAAAATTATATAAAATACTCCTCTACCCGTGACATATTCGATATGCCAAACACAGTAACAAGTCTCACAATGTTACTGGGCTTGCTCAAGCAAATTGATGAACAGCGGGAGGACAGTGATAGTGACTCCTTTACTCCATGCTGACCCAAAGAGATGAGACCAAATTGATTTCCATGTGTTTAAGTGGAAAATGATTATAACAAATTTAATTTTGTAAATAAAATATCTTAGAGTAGAACAAGAAATGCTCTTACAATAGAAAAAATATTCTTCACATTAAACTGTGATAATTGTTGATTTGGTAAGCAAATTTGACAAGACTTTATCAGTTAGTATAAAAATAATGTTAATAAAATAAAATAATAACTAATATGAATGCTAATAATGGTAATAAAATAAAAATAATATGAATCAAATATTTAAGCATAGTGTCTCCTACTATAGATTCTACTATAGTTTATTTAGCATTATATAAATTAGTTCATTATTATAACTTTGTTTTCATTGAAAAGACATTGTATTATAAGATTATAGCAGTTTTAGTTCTGTATTATTGAAAGCAAACATTTATATACTACATTAAGTTCACTCCTAAGAAGTCACCTGTTCTACTGTCCTGATTTACAACCTCTGTTCATCTTAGTTTTCATCAATAAGCCATTAATTAGTCTCATAGACTAAAGTTTATTTTTGTCTTATTTAGTACTTCTGTTTAGTTGTTTTCATTGTATATCACATATCAATACAATCATATAGTGTTTTTCTCTAACTTATTTCTTTAAACATAATGCTCTAGGTTCATCCATGTTTTTGCAAATGACAGAAATTTATTTTTTGGAGGGTTTGTTACCACCAGCTGTTCTCAGAACTTTACAATGGCTCTGTGCTCAGGGGTCACTCCTGGTGGGACTCAGTAAATGATAAGCAGCGCTGGGAATTGAGCTCAAATCAGCCACATGTACAGAAACTTCCTTACTTTTTGTACTGTGTCCCACCCAGCAATATTTCATCTTTTCATAGGTTATAATTACATTGCACATGTGTATTATATTTACATATATTAAAATTGTTTATGAGTGATGGGTAACTGTGTTATTTCTACTTTTGGCTATTATAAAAATATGTTGATAAATATAGGACTGCATATATCTTTTTAAATTAGTATTTTTAAATTTTTTTCACATAAATATCCTAATATGTGGTAACTGGATCATATAGAATTTCTTTTATATGGAGTTTTAATTTTTGACAATTTTCCATACTATTTTCCATATTATTTCCATATTAGTTGCACCAATTTACATTTACACCAGCAGTGAGTAAAGATTCCCTTTTCTTTACACTCAGTCCAACATTTGTTTCTTGTTATAAGATAATAGCTATTCACACAGGTATGAGTTGATATTTCCTTTGACTTTTGATAAATACTTTTAAAATAAGAAATAATTTATTGCATACATCTGCAAATAACCATATAGAATGAAATCATGAAATGATGTTCAACATCCCTTATTCATATCCATCATTTATTATTTATTTTTGATCGGCTTTTATGAATTATTCATATATATTTAGATATTAACCCATTGTCAGGTTATGATGTCCCGGTATCACTTCCAGTATATAGAATCTATTTTAATTTTGTTGTAAGCTTTATTCTCTGTGCAGAAACTTTTTTATGTGTTGTTGCTTTTGTCACTGAAATCAGGTGAAGTCATTCTTAAACACAACATAAAGTTCTATTGTGTAATCACCTAGAGACTAGGAACCCCATCGCTCTCTCTTGCCACCTGCGTTGGTGGTCTTATGCAGCTTCCTCCATCCAGGAAGGCCCATGCCATGCGTAGACAAAGGTGTGAATGAGGGCCAGGCTGGTCCGTGATCAGTTCCCATTTATTTCATTCTATCCACAGACCTGTTCCAATCTCACAAATGAGTTCAGTCTCTCTCTGTCTCTCACCAACTCCTCTGCATTGGGGGTAGCACAATCAACATATCAAACCCCTTCCTGATCATCTGCAGCCAGGAGATCAGGCCTTGGGTTGAAAATACCACTTAGGATGTTTTTTCTTCTTTCCTTAGTCCAATAACTTAATTAACATCTTAATATCTTAATCCTACTTTTTAATATTAGTTATTTTGTATGAATGCAGTAAGAGATACATTAAGCTTGTAGGGTGGCTCTTTTGGGGACTTCTCACTATAAATCTCAGACTACAGTGCTCAGGTCAGATTAGTCTTTCATAACCCTAGCAGGGTCCTAGACTAGTTGTTACTTTTTGGATCATGACACAATTTGTCCATGACCATGCTCTTAACTTATAGTTAAGTATTATGGTGCTTTGGCCTGGCCCATTTCAATGCCACGGTAGCTCATATCTTGCCCTGGGTCCATCCAGTCCCTCGTCAGGACCCTGCTTTTGGGGTGCTTGGAAGTAAGGACAACTGAGGCTTAAGTCGAAAGCACAGATACCCAGGAGTGAATATTATTCGGACTCAATTATCTTCCAAGTTACGAAAGCATAGCATTAACTATCTTCCTGTGCCTATACAAAAAGGACATTGCTCTGACTTAACTATGTGAAGGACATAAGGAGAAGAGAATAGCAACATTTACAAATTAATGGAGGCTGATTAGGAGATAAAGGTGATTGACCAATTGGGGAAGCAGAGCACAAAGAAAGAGTTTACAGATA